AATATTTAGCGCATCACATGACTTCCGTAGTAAGTTCGTTCTAATTGGTCAATATTAACGGTCAATTGGTTGGTCCATGGTTTACAATCTCACAATAGATCTTGTCCTTAACATTTACTTTGAACTCCTACACAAGCTGGATCCTAATCTTTATTATACATCCTCAAAAAATGATGATTCATTATCATCATTTGCTATTTGTTGCTACTAATATTGTTTAATGTTGTTATAACAACTACTGATTGGTGGTATTCATAATAATCATTAATGAAACTTTAATCAATATAAAGTCAGAAGTATAAAACAAAAATTCTTCATGACTTAAAATTTCTATAAAATAGTTTTTCATGAACCTCTATAAAACTTATTAACCAATACCCCACAAAGTAATGACCATATGAAAGCTTAAAGTATTCTACACCTTCTCATTTACTATCAAGCCTTTTAAAATGATATTGAGAAATAAACTGAGCTTTGAAGTGAAAAAGTAATACCATTTTTGAATAGTCGTGAATTCATGTAGAGAAGACCTTTCAATATGAAAGATTATTCATTAAAAAGCTTTAATTGAGCACTTTCATTTTAGTCTAACAACGAAGTTCGAGTTTATTATAAAAATAACAAGATATTTTAAAATAGACTTCATGTGACACAAATTTCGAATTTATTTTCACATATAGAAAATCAATTGATGTCCTGTGACTATTACTACTACCCTTTTTACAATATGATTAACATTCAATTTGAGCATAAGATTATCCAAAAAAGGTAAGGAATTTATTACACAAAATATTAAAATATATATTAATATTAATATTTTTATAAAAAAATAACAAATGATATTGTATATATACTTGCTGCCCATACTAAGGGATATGGGACAATCCCCAATCCCATTGGGTATGGGTGGGTGGGGCTTTGAGGTTAGTAAAATCCCCACCCAATCCCCATCCCATATCCCACCCCACACCCCACATCCCATATCCCAACCCATACCCATATCCCATATCCCATCTCAAATTAACCAATCATATTTTTGTCATACAATTAAATAATAATTCGAATTGAAGATTTACATTTTCATCACGAGTACAATGTACAAATAAAGAAAATAACTAAACATTAATGGCAAACAAATTAATTTTATTAAGTATTTTTGCTAATTATGTTTAGTAGTATTCAGATGAGATTATTTGTATTATAAATATGATTATTTTAAAAAGAATAAAGAATAACATATTTTTACCACAATTAAATAAAGTATTTGTTTGTTTAATTCATTTTTGAATTCTTCACAATTCTTTACAATGGTGAATTAAATTTTTTTTTTAAAATAATTGTTTGTTTTTATAGAAAATTTATTACTAAATCATGTTTGATAAATAGGCTGATGAAACAGACAATTTATCAATTTATGAAATTAATACAAGTACTGGAAATTCCAGACAAGGAGGTAAAGCTAGAGATCCAGTATGGAATTATTTTAATGCAATAGAAATTCCACATCAATTTATGAAATTAATACAAGTACTGGAAATTCCAGACAAGGAGGTAAAGCTAGAGATCCAGTATGGAATTATTTTAATGCAATAGAAATTCCACATGACTCTCACCTGTCAGCACAATGTAAATTTTGCTTTAAGTCATGGAAACATGGTAAACCTTCTGAATTGAAAGGGCATTTGGCTCTGAAATGCCCATTAGTTAGTAAAGAAGTAAAATTAAAATATTTAAGATCAATTAAATCAGATGATAATACATACTCTGCAAATAAAAGGCAAAGTGGAAATATTGGAAATAATATGGATCTTTGTTCTTATTTTGACAGTGATAGAATAGATGCACCAAAAATTTCAAGAGCAAATCAAGCAATGGTTTGTTTTTTTGTGTGTTGTGGGATCCCCTTTAGTGTTGCAGATTTAAAAAAACTTTATGCAGTGGTTATGAACCTCCAAAACATATCACCTTGTCTAATCATCTGTTAGATTTTGAGATTGCCAATATAACCTTAAAGATAGAAAAAGAGGTGCGGGATTCCAAGAATTTGACTTTAGGTAATTAATGTAATTATTTTAAGTAAAATTCATTAATGTAAATTTAATCATTAATTAATGTAATTATTTTTAATAAAATTTATTAATGTAATTATTAATTATTTATGTAATAATAAAAATTATTTAATCTTTCCTGAAAGGTATTGATTCTTGGACAAGTCCTCTTGGTCAAAGTATATATGCTTTTGTAATTATTACTCCAGCTCGTCTCCAATTTATATACTCAATTAATGATTTTTCAAGTGACAGGCATACAGCTCAATTCAATGAAGAACAATTGTTAAGAATTATTGACAATATTGGAAAAGAAAAAATCACTGCAATTGTTTCTGATGCTGAATCAGCAATGATGGCAGCAAAAAGAAGGATTGTATCTAATTATAAACATATTATCATATAAATATTGTTACAAAAGATATTACATCATTAGATTGGGCTAAAAAAACTTTAAAAAAATGTCAAAAGATTGTTTCCTTTTTTCATAAATCACATTGTGCTGGAGCTGCATTACATGAAGAAATAATCAATTCATTAGTGTTTGGTGGGAATTTAAAATCATCAGTAAAGACTCGTTGGAGCACATCTTGGGATGTTTGTGAATCAATTTTATGCCTTGAAACAAATATTAAATTTGTAAGTATTTTAAATTTATCTTTTATTTTTTTATAAATTATAAAATGATCTAATACTCATAATTAAAGGTGGTTGAAGAACAACCTGAAATCTTTGTAAATGCAAATGCCATCAACAAAATCGTGAATTCTGGCATGATGTTGAACAATTAAAAGTAATAATTGGTCCAGCAAAACATGCAACAAAAGATCTTGAATATTCAACAACTACTTTATCTGATTGTTTTTTAGAATTGATAAAATTAGCAAGTGAAATATCAAAAATTCCTATTCAAAATGCAGATCTTAAACATTCATGTATTGCAATATTTAATAAAAGGTGAAGTGAATTTGATATTGATATTTATATGTTAGCATTTTTCTTAAACCCTAAGTATTGTGGTATGTATAACAATTTTTTTATTTTCAAATTTTTTCTTTTAATGATATTTATAACTCATCTTTTTTTTTTCAGAAATGTATCAAAAACTGCACTTAGTATTTGGAAAAATCAAGGTGGTGGTAAAACAAGCTCTGATCTTTTGTTAGTACAGTTAAGTCTATATAGAAATTTTGAAGAACCATTCAATGAAATTTATTTAGATGGTATTAATACTCCTATAAATTGGTGGACCTCTTTAGAACTTAAAAAAAATGAGGATTGCACTTGCTTTAAAATTACATTCCATAGTTCCTCATAATGGGGCATGTGAAAGAGTATTTTCTGTATTGGGATGGTACTTAGGAAAAAGAAGAATTTAATATATTTATATTTATTATAGCTTTTAAATGCAAAACATTGAAATATAATTTTTTTTTACAACAGAATTAACATTGAAAGGTTGCAATCAATAGCACAAATTCATTCTTATCTTGTAACAAATGCAAAAGATGAGTTGAAATACTTAAATGAAGAAATTTCAGTTGAAACATTTAACCGAATTGCTTTATCAATTACCAATGGAAATGATCTTTTTGGACAAGATGATAATCTTGAAGATGTTAGTCATCTTGATGATAATTGTGATGAAGAGGTTATAAATTTGGATGATGTTAATGATAGCCATTTAATTATTACTGAAAGCATTGATTTGAATTCAAGTTTATTGTCTAATAATAATATTTTATCAAATGAAATTTATGAAGAAAATGATATTGATCATGGAGATACAAATTTTGACATTGATGAATTGTTAGATAATCATAATTTTGATTAATGATTGTTTTCTGTTGTAATTACAGAATTATTTCTCTTTTTAATTGTTTTTATGGTTTTAATAATTTTTATAAATGATAAAATTTTTTTATTAATAAATATACATATATTTTGTTAATTCTATCAATGGGATATGGGATTGGGTTGGGGTTGGATGGGGTTGGATGGGGTTGGATGGGATGGGATTTTAAGGATTTGAGTATGGGCAGCAAGTATAATTGATGCTTTAGGAAAAATATTTTAAACTGACTGTATCATTATCAAAAGTTGTAAACCAATTACAAATAAAATTGAGTGACAATAGTTTGTGATTATTGATTGACTAGCACTAAAAAATTAGATTCATTCAAAAACAATTTATTTATCAATTTATAATATTTAAGAAAAGACAGAACAACTGAATTCAATTCAGCTGTTGAATCAATCAAATCTTGGTCAACAAACAGTCGTGGGTTTCAGACAAGGCATAATTTAGAACAGAGACATTCTTTAATTAGTAGTCATAATAATAGTAGTAGTAGTAGCAGTAGATTGACAAATGGAAATAGTGGTCCTGTTGGAATAAATAAAACTGAATTTTCAAGGATGGCATCTGCAATTGGCAAAGATATTTGTGTTACAGCAGCTAAATTACATAAATTAACAAAATGTAAGCATTCTTTATAAAGAAATGATTTTTATTGAAATAATAATGTGTATATATTTACATGTTGATTTTTTCTAATGTATAAGTGGCAAAAAGAAAGACATTATTTGATGATCGTCCAGTTGAAATAAGTGCAAGTATTTTCTTATTCTCTCTTCTTTGCATGTGTTACCAGAATTAGATTTTGACACAGATCTCGAATCTCTTAATTCTGGGGCAATTTAAATTTTATTTCTTTATTATTTAATCTATTCTTATTTCATTATTTTTATTATTTTTATTTTTATTGATTCTATTTATCTATCAATAATGTGTATAATTATTTATTATCATCTGAATTCGTGTTATGTTTTGTGTATTTAATTATTATTAGTCATGTGAAATTTCCCTGAGGCTGCTTTTCTATATTAATATTAATATGTGAAAATAAATTCGAAATTCGTGTCACATGAAGTTTTTTTTATAATAAACTCGAACTTTGTTGTTAAACTAAAATGAAAGTACTCCATTAAAGCTTTCTAATGAATACTTTTTCATATTGAAAGCTCTTCTCTGCATGAATTCACAGCTATTCAAAAACAGTATTACTTTTTCACTTCAAAGCTCAGATTATTTCTCAATATTGCTTTAAAAGATTTGATAGTAAATGAGAAGGTGTAGAATACTTTAAGCTTTTATATGTTCATTACTTTAGGGGGGTATTGGTTAATAAGTTTTAGAGAGGTTCACAAAAAACTATTTTATAGAAATTTTAATAGTCATGAAGAGTTTTATGTAGATGGGATTCAGCAAAAACTAAAAGGTATTTTATTAGTGATTGTTTTATATTTCTGACTTTATATTGATTAAAGTTTCATGAATGATTATTATGAATATCCATCAATCAGTAGTTGTTATAGCAACATTAAACAATAATATTATATAGTAGCAACAAATAGCAAATGACAACAACAAATCATCTTTTTTGAGGATGATAATAAAGATTAAGATTCAATTTGTATAGGAATGATTGAAGTAAGCATTAAGGACAGGATTTATGAACAAAACATACTAATGAACATTTATCAATTATTCAATAGTTTGTATAGGAGTGATCTAAGTAAGCATTAAGGACAAGATCTATGAACAAAATATACTAACAAACATTTTATCAATTATTCAATAGTTATGTTTATTATTTATTTATGTATATAAATTTCTCTTTTAACTTATACTTAATAACATCACTACAATAAATAATTAAATGAATAAAGTCAGAGATAAAACACCTTTTAATTTAATCATTATTGTTGCTTGTTTATTGTTTATTTATGTATATAAATTTCTCTTTTATTTTACTTATATTTAATAACATCACTGATAAATAATTAAATGAATAATAAAGTTAGTGATACACAGTGAATCTCGATTTAATGGATAGTTTGGGCAATTAGGGAAAATTTTCCAAAAATCTGTTAAACCAAGATATCTGCTATATCAAGAAGGTTTTTATTAAGGTTTATTATAGGGGTGTTCAAAGTTGTTCCGTTCCTGTTTCCTGTTCCTTGTTACACAGTCAAAATTAAATTTTATTGGCTGATCAGAAGGAACAGGAAACGGAACAAAGAAACAACAAATTTGTTGTTTCTCCTTGTTTCCACTTCCAAATTTGGAAACGATTTTAAAAAAAAAATAAAAAATAAAAAATAAAAATAAAAAAATAAAAACAAGAAAACGAGAATATCATAAAATAGCTTCTACTAATAATGTACAACAGCCTCGTCCAGTTCAAAGAGTAGCTTCTACTAATGACATGCAACAACAACAAAGCATTTATCCAGTTCAGTAACTTCTACTAATAATAATGATGTGTAACAACAAAACTTTCATCAAATTCATCCAATTCAGTTATTTCTTGGAATAGATTTAGAAACAATGCCTCTTCAATTCTTTCACAAGTTGACATATTTTTAAAAAAACACATGTAGTTCAGTTCCAAATATAGAAGTTGTGGAAACAACTAGGAAATTTCTGCTCAAAGTTGATCCTTATTTCCATTACCTAATAAGGTATTGTACAACAAGGAATAGGAACAGGAACAGAACAACTTTGAACACCCCTAGTGTACGCGTTTTGTCGATCAAATAACAAATTCTTTATAAAAAAAAAATAAAAAAAAATGCCAAATCAGAATGACAACAAAAAAAGAAAACAACTAGAAGAATGGTGGTTATCGCCACCACTCATCACTCTAGTTTATTTAAGAATGGTGATGATGGTTGTTTGCAACTTCTTTATAAATAACAATATAAATTTAACTTTTTTTTTATTGATTCCTAATTTGTTTAGAGTTGTTCATGATAAGGTAAGCAATAAACTATATTCTCTTTGATCAGTAAAACTGATTGTCTTAATACTAATCCAATTCCCAATTTGTAGGAAAATTTATCACCCTACTCATCAGATAATGATGACGGTAAGGAGAATATATATTAATATGACAAAATACCTCTTAATCAATATATTTATAAATATTTATATTTAAATGTAAAGAAACCAATCTTGATATCATTAATAATGATAACATTGTATCAGAGCAAGTAAGCATCATGACAACACTCATATCTGACTACGTTCAATAACATTAACTCATTGATTTGATTACAGTTATCCATGACAATATTGAAATCCAAATTATATCTTGAAAAAATATGGGTTGAAGTCATAAATCATTTAAAAAAAGCAAAAATCCAAGTCCAGTAAGAATTCTTACATTTTGTTTTTCCATGGTTGTTTAAATTATCATGAATTGTATACTCTATTATAGATCTATTGAGGCTCAAATAATTGACCTCTCAGGTTGGGCCACAATTGATTGGAATACAATACTATATTGTCCTGATAGATATCAGTTAATAAAAAACAAAACCCCATTTATTAAGAGATAAAATTCCTGACAATATTCTCACTTTTACCAGCCCTATAAAAAATAACATACGGTAAAACAGTACATGAACCATACATTTTTCTGTACCTATTCCGTAAAACAATATGGTTCATGTACTGTTTTACTGTACAAATTCTGTACATTTTCCATACACTTTCCGTACCAAATTTTTTATAGGGCAGAAACCCGCCAAACAAACTAGTAAGCCATTTCTATAAATAAAAATTACTATCAAATGCTATTCATCAATTCTTTTTTTATAATAATTTAATCTAGCGATCTGTTGAAGGTCTAAACGAGTGGAAGTCAAAATTTTTAAATATAGAAAATGAAGATGCAAAGCTTGCAATTAAATTAATTTCATTTTAGTAAGTATATAATAATAATATTGTATTTAGTTAGGTTTGCAGCACTGAAGTAACTAATTATTTTGTCAAAGTCAAAAGGCACTTAATAAATTAGTCAATCTTTTTCAAACGTCAACAAGGGAAAGAGATATTTTAATTAACATTGTTGCACCATTGCTGAGTAAAACATTAAATCAATTCAATATATGTGAATTCTCGTTGTACTGGTATGTTGCATGCATACCCTCAACTAGTTTTCAGGGAAATGAAATAACGTTCATTTTGATTTATTAGGATTGAAAAAGAATGTGTGGCAGTCACAAGCAGGAAATGAAAATACATAAACACAGACTATACAAACTTAACAAACGATTATCAAAAATTTGATTGTATTGCTGAAATAAGGAATTTTGGGCTCGAACTACTGTTGCTTGAGGCTGGTGATGACAAGACTGACATTTATGGTAGAAAATATCACAATGACCACTCACAATTAAAAATAGCATTAAAGGATTGCTTAGATATGTTTATGGAATGGTTACATCTGTCTACAGCAGAAATATCTGAAATTTGCACACTTGGATTGCAAATTATTGGTAATCGAACAAAAATCTTTATTGAAATCATTGATGGCAAAAAAAATTTTTTTTTCTAATGCCAATTTTATTGTTTTAATAGATACAAAATGGATCATCTATTCAATGACCTATGATCCTTTATCCAAATACTATTTTTTTCACCAACTATGTTCTTTTCACTTTCCGACATCATTCTCTGATTTGGAATTTTTTCTGCCATATCTTATAGAAAATTTATTGTCACTTCGGGTATGTATCTAATGAAAGTGTAAAATATGGTGTTGGTAATTGTTTTCTATTGTTTAACTTAATTGGTTGTACATCATTAGCACACTATGTTAAATATGGTGAACAAAACCAAAGAAGTTACGATTGCTGCAAGAACAACTACGCCATCACCTCAATCATCACCGTTACATGAGACACCTGAAACTCCTCCACAAATAAAATGAACAAAAGAGAATCCTTTCAAAGAAATTTTTCAAGGGATATACTGATCTTACATAATTGTAAAATTCACAAGTAAATCGGAACAGAAATATCAATAATAATATATATTATATACAATAATTGTTTAATCATAAAGATTTTTAACTCCTAGTAACATTAGCACTATTGTTCATACATTTATTAAAAATAATAACTTGCTTTAAAAGCATCATATATGTTAGGATCATTGCTATAGATTAAGTATTAGTTATGTTATTTATTATTACCGTTGTTTAATAGTATTGTATTTAATTATCAAAGATGTACCAAGCTTGGCAAAAAATAAATATTACAATTACCATATTATGTACTCAGTGTTGACAATTTAACCAGTTCAAATCTTTTTTTGAACCTTTTGAACTTTTGAATGTTAATCGGTTAAATAACCGGATACAGTCAAACCTCATTTCAATGGAATTAGGTGGCCAGTCTCCATAGATCCGTTGGAAACGAGAGAATGATCGATGGAAAATTTTACTTATTATTATATGTTTATATAAAATAAAATAAAAAAGTCTGTTTCAATAAACATGATTCGTGTTTTTGTTCTGTCATAATATATGTACATTTTTTAAATAGAGAAAAAGATGGTGTTGTGATATTTTATAAATTGGAG